ATACTACGCTTGCAAGCAAAGGTGCAGGATGTATTAGGCGACTGTTTGGCTTGCTACTAGAACAAGCCTAAGAGATATAAGCCCTATAGCCTGTTATAACCCTTACTGCTACTAACTAGACTATAGAGCAGCGTAACGATAGACTTTATAGTAAAGCTTCTGAAATCGTTAGAACTAGGATCTAGAAGATTATGCGACACAGTCCTAGTTATTGTATACTAACACACGAAAGGGGTAAAGTTCGTGCCTACAGAGGAGACTATCTCCGCAGAAGAATGCGCGTACAAGGTTAGCAAAGCACTAATATTAGAGTATAGGATACCTAAAGAGTTTATTACTAATTGTGATAAACTATTTACGTCTAAATATTAGGACACATTCCTAGCAAAATTAGGTGTGAAAAAGAAGCTATCGACTAGTTTTTACCCCGAAACAGATAGCTAGACAGAAAGAACGAACTAGACACTAGAACAGTATCTAAGGATGTACGCTAATAAACTGTAAGACAACTAGGTTAAACTCTTGCCGACAGCGTAATTAGCCTACAATAGTACTAAGTCTGCGACAACGAAGTACTCACCGCACTACGCGAACTACGGATATAAGCCGACTGCTTATTAAGACCCAAAAGATATTGAAAGTATCGCAGTAGGAGCAGACGACAAAGCCCGCTTAATGCGAGAACTGCACGAAGAATTAAGCAAGAACATAGCTTACAGGAACTTTATATTAGCTAGAGCAGCGAATAAGCAAAGGATTAAGGGACTAACCTTTAAGAAGGGGGACAAAGTTTTCCTGTTATAACAGAACTTAAAAACTAAATAACTAAGCAAGAAACTAGATAACCTCTAAGTAGGACCCTTTAAGATCTTAGAGGAAATAAGCATAGTAAACTATAAACTCTAACTACTACTAGGCATGCGCGTCTACCCTGTCTTTTACAAAAAACTCCTAGAAAGAGCACCTCTAGATGCTGAGCTAGCAACAGATGTAGAGCTTAAAGACGACGAGTACGAGGTCGAAGAAATTAGGGACCTGCGGAAAGTTAGTCGTTAGTAGAAATACTTAGTTAAGTGGCAAGGATAGCTAGAAAGCTAGAACACTTAGGAACTAAAAGAAAATTTAACGAACTGCAAGTTATAGGTACTTAAGTACTACCAGAGACACCTAGGGAAGCGAGGACTAGGTCCTTAAGGGAAAGGAAGTAATTAAAAGAAGGGTTGAAAGAAGCGTTAGCCTGTAACTAGCCTAAGTTAGTCAACGATCTGGGTAGCGATGGTTTGGTTGCTAGAAGGTCTGTACCCGGGGCAGAATCCCCTTTGGCCTGCTCTTTCGCACGATCCTGGAAATTCAGGATGGCAAGATCTCGATTAGCGTATGAGTGCTCTTGCGCCTTAACCTCTAGGAGCTCCTGACGAACGCGGGCAGCCTCCTCCTCGATGCGAGCTAGCTTAAGACGCTTCTCGCGCTTCTCTCGCTGAACTTTCTCCCACTCTTCCTTAGTTATAAACAAGCTGCAAGCCGCGGACACCGAAATGTAACTAGCGCAGCGACTAGACGCAGTATCCACGAAACAACGAAGGTTCTTCTCCTTGCAGCGCTTACAGCGAAAAGGTATTTCTAAATTCTTCTCCTTTACACAGTCAGCACAAGCACGGCGCTTAGTAGTTGAGTTTTGCGTACGGTTACGACAGACAGGCTGAACCTTAGGCATAGTTAGGAGAAGTAAGGAAAGGAAAGAAGAGGGGATATAACACTACAGGAACACCTAAACCTCTACCGCCGCCGCTAGACTAGGCGCGGGAAAACGATAATCTAGGGTATTGGGACGATACGCCTAAAGGGGGGGGTAATGTTATAAGGTAATAAGGAAGTTGCTTTCTTTTAATGCAGGTCGCATAAAGGAAGACTATCGGGACAGCTATGATGGAAGGTCGCTGATCTATAGCGGGGCTAGGGTCACGTAATGTGCTATCACGCTAAGACGAAGCTATTAGTGATGGCAGAACATGTATGTGAAGGCAGCTATTAGAGGAAGGGATAACTAT